TATATAATAAAAGAATTAATAGCATGTTTGGATAAAAGATTTCAAATGAGTAATTTTTTTAAAAGAATTTTGAATATTTTGAGGTAAAATGTTTTGTTTAACTGAAAAATTTATAAGAAATTTAGAATTTAAGTATTTTAAAAAAATATTTTTTAAAAAAACATTTTTAAAATTAGTTGCTTCCAAAGAATTTATAATGAATCATTGTAGACTCTTAGATTTTTTTTAAAAAAAATAAGATTTTGAAATTTTTTTATATATTTTTTATTTTACTTATATTTTTTTTTAAGTTCGTTTGATAATCAAGACAGGATAAAATAAAATGAGATATCAGAATTGGATAGGATAATACTATATAATAAAGTATTTAATGTTTAATGCATATTGGATTATATCATGATTAGATATGGTTTAACTTATGTTAACAAGTTATTATTATTCTCTTTGATAGTTCACGCAAATAATATTAATGCATCTACGTCCTGCAACATCAATCAAAGAAAGGATTAATGATTTTGTTGTAATCTTTGCTCCTCATTATTAGAGCAACTTTTGTTATCTTAAATATCTAACAGGGGTGTACGTGCACCGTTGGACAAAAGAATTTTAAAATTAGTTATTTTTATATTTAAAATCAATTTTTCAACCAACCTTAAAAGAACTTATTTTAAAATATTGAATTTTTAAAATCAATTATTAATCGATCTTAAAAGTATACTTTTAAGATTGATTATTAGACAATTATCTTGAAAATTGTGGTTTTTACAATAAACCTTTTAAAGTCTCAATTTTTAAGATCAGTTATGAGTAATTGATCTTAAAAATGGTAAAAAAAATTTAAAATTTTTGTTTATTTTGAGTGTCCCAGAACAAAGCCTTCAAATTAATAAATACTAGTCGGTTCAAATGCTTGCAATTAACTAAAATGTTTATATTTCCTATGTTACTTCTCAATGAACCAAATTACATACAAATGGGAAGAGATGATAAATGTGAACCATATATATAATCAAAAAGTTTTAAACACATGTAATACATAAATATGTCTCATTGCTCAATGAAACATAAATCATAACTAATCAATGCAACACTATAAAACACAAATCCAAACTAGTCAATGTAATGGTCAATGAAAGATGTCGTCCATTGGTCCATTGCTTCCTAATGGTGTTTATGTCGTCTAACAACAATGGTGATCGATCTATAAATATCTGTTAAGAAAAATTAGAACAATTAGTAATAATTCATAAAACATATAAAATGAGAACTTAAAATAAAAACTTTCAAAATTATAAACACATGTAATGCATAAATATGTCTCATTGCTCAATGAAACATAAAGCATAACTAATCAATGCAACATTATAAAACGCAAATCCAAACTAGTCAATGTAATGGTCAATGAAAGATGTGGTCCATTGCTTCCTAATGGTGTTTATGTCGTCTAACGGCAATGGTGATCAATCTACACTACAACACAAATAGCTTTTAGCAACATTTGAAAATTGTTACTTAATGATGTATAAATGTTACTAATTTGTTTTAGCAACATATTATCAAATGTTGTATATAGTCTATGTTACTAAAGACTTTTAATAACATTTTTATATAATTAGGTAACATTTTTCAAATGTTAGCAAAGTAGTATTTTTGTAACATTTTAATGATGTTGCTAATATTTTGTTAATTTATAAAATAATAATTAATTTTAATTTAGATATATTACTATCAATTATTATATTTTTATGCCTCTTAAACTCCTAGGAATGGAAGACATTCTTAATTAGTTACCACTAATTGTATATAAAATATCAAATTTCATTTATCTTAAGTATAACTATATGGTTATATATACTCTTTATGAGTCATTAATCTATTCGATGTGAGACTTTAATTATGGATAATAATTAGAGATAAGAGAAATATACTTTTTTCTACTTGATGTGAGACTTTGATTTTAGAAGCAATTATAGTAACATTTTTCAAAAAAAATGTTGCCAAATAACTTATGTAAAATATTTTTACTTGATATGAGACTTTGATTTTGAAAACAATTAGAAAGAATAATATTAAAATAAAAATGTTACTCTATCTATAATGACATTTTTTAAAAAAGTGTTGCAAAATAACATATTTGTTTAATATTTAGTAACATTTTAACAAATATAAACAAGAAAATATTGCTAAAGAATTAAAATCTAGTAGTGCTATAAATATCTGTTAAGAAAAATTAGAACAATTAGTAATAATTCATAAAACATATAAAATGAGAACTTAAAATAAAAACTTTCAAAATTATAACACTTACTTCAACCCACCCGGAAACTAATTGTAAATCAATAATATATGGATTTTCTCCATTACATAATATCCAAAGCCCCTCTCATTTATTAGATTCCCTTTCACCCTGAGCGAGTTACTTCATCGCCAAAAAAACCAAAAATAAAAAAACAAGTGGGTTCCTTAGAACTTCAACACCAATTACTCGCCCATTCCCTATTTCTCTCTTCTTTATCTTTTTCATAACTTTGCTATGTGCATGACACGCTAGAATCTATGCAAATACCTTATATATAGTCTCCATCATTACATTATGGATTAGCTTTTGTGTATATGTTCCTTGTTTCAACAACACGGGTAGGCACAAGCTTTATGCATGTGTATAATATCTCCTAAAAACTCTATTAAGTTAGTATCCAAACAGATTGTATGTGTTTGAAATGGGAACTGTCTTATCTTCATCCAAGGGTTCTAATTCAGGAAAACATGAATGTGTATGTGAGTCAATTTCAAAGACCAAGATTACCTGCAAATAAGGAACTTTCACATTTTCGCATTCAACTAATCAGAACCATTGAATGAGGATTGTACAAACTTATATGTTATCTTGATAAATATAACATGAAATGTGAACTATCTCATCTTCATTCAAGGAAATGTGAATGCAGAGAATCCATTTTCAGCCAACAAAGAACAAAAAGAATAATAAAATTGGCAAGCACATGAGAATCAAACTCATTCCGAATCACGATTCCATGAGGAACCAAAAGAAGAACACATGTTGCTACTCAACGCAGCATCGCACTACAACAAAATTTAGTATTACTGACAATTATTTAATGACAATAAATTAATTGCCTCTATTTTATTATTTAATAAAAATATTAATGACTATTATATAATGGCCACTAAAAATGTATTTACATCACATCAAAATTTACTATTAGCGACAATTATTTGTTAGAAAAAACTTAAGTCCCACATTAACTAGAAATAAAATAATTAAAGAGTATATAAGTGAATTATAACTCTCACCTTACAAATATGTTTTATAAGGTTGAATTAGACCTATAACTTACTATTCTAAGTTAATATTTAGGAGATAAGATAATTAAAAAAAATTAAAGAATATATACTTAGAAAATAACCTTCATCTTCTAAGTCCCACATCAATTAGAAATAAGGTAACTAAAGAGTATTTGTACTTATCTTACAAGTCCTACATCGACTAGAAATAAGATAATTAAGAGTATTATAAATTTTTTTTTAAACTTTTAGTAGCAATTTTAAATGTCAGTAACAAATGACAAAAAAAGTTATACATTTTTCCCGACCATTATGAGGGTCTTTACCAGCATATAGAATAATTATTGCTAAATATTTTAGCGACACTGTATATAATGACTAATGTGTGAAATGCCGGTAAAAGATTTTGTAACAATTTTTATTACCACTAAAAGTCATATTAAATGCCACTAAAATTTTATTTTATTGTAATTTCGGCATTGCCATGGCTTTCATCGAGCAAGATTGATGTGAACCTTGCTCTTCCCTTTGTCGCTACCACCATCCCTAATGTGGACGATGCCGGCCTGGCACCCTTTACGAGGAGGGAGAAAAGCATGGGAACAACATTGAGGTTTATCATGGTAGTAAAACCCATGCAACAGAACCCTACTCCTACTCCTACTCCTATACCTATTATGCTTATGATTTGGTTAGAATGCACATATACTTTTTTACAAAAACGAACGAAAGGCAGGGAAAACACAAATGGAGGATATTATTGAGGGAACACGAGCCTAGACGGAGGCCGAAATTGTAAGAAAGCAAATGGCGTGAAAGAGAATATAGAATGGGAACAAGAGAGAAAATGAGACTCGTAGATAATTAAGATAGGTTATTTTAAAATCGAGTATACAAAATCATAGATAACCAATCTTAAAAATAAGAATAGGACATACCCTTTTAAATCGGATATTTAACAACTTATTTTGTATACTATATACAAAATTAATTTTAAAATAATCAATTTTAAAAGTAATAACACAGACACTTTTCAAAATTGATTAAATGATAACCGATTTTAAAATATCTTTTATAATTAATTAAAATTAAACCGATTTTAAAAGTAGTGACGGTAATTATAAAAAAGTCATCGTGTCACTTTTAAAATTGGTTCCCTCTTAACCGATCTTAAAATCCTGATTTTAAAAGTTATTTTTGCACTAGTTGTGGGTGAGGTTAGATTAAGTTTGAATGGATCAATTGTGTGACTTGATTAGAATTAAACTGGCTGAAATGGATTTGCCTTTTGAAATTCAACCCAACCCAATCCAATCATGAACGAATTGGATTGTGTTGGATCTATCAAGGTAACATAATTAAATGTATTTTTTTTGTAAAATTTAAATATTTCAAAATAGATATAAATCATTTGATTGTTATAAAATATAATGTTATCAATCTAAAAACAAAATAATAATACAAACTAAATTTTAAAATAAATTTGTTGATTTACTAGATTATTATTAACTCAAACAACCAATATTAATTAATATAAAATAAATTTTAAAATAAATATACTGTTTATCAATTTAAAAACACAAAATCTATTACTAAATAAAGTGAGAATGAGTAATGTTTTAAGTACATAACCATCAAACATTATTATTATTATTATTATTATTATTATTATTATTATTATTATTATTATTATATGACCGAATTGGATTACAGGTTAAAAATTCAAAACCTATTATTCGATCTAATATGGTGTCAGATTTTTAGCAAATTATGTCAGCTCAAAGTCAAATATTAAAAAAAATCTTATTTGAATTTATTAGAACATCTACAATGGAAGTTGCATATAAACAACTCCCAACCACTTTAAATGGGTTCTACTGTGACACGTCACTCATAAGCAACTCATATTATATTTTTACAATTTTTGCTCCAATAAAAATTGCTTATAAGCACCCCCTACTATTTTACAACTCATACTACACTTTTTGACACCTCACACTATACTTTTTGCAAAATCTCTGTACACTTCCACCTTGGATCAACATCAACCAATCAAATCTCTCCATTTTAAATTTCAGAGTGCTGAGCACTATTGTTTCTCTAAGCAACAAAGCTAAAAAAATTTAGAACTTGTCTTGTTACGTATGGTAACTCCAGTAAAAATTTCTTGTAAGCACTATTGCTTAAAAATAAGATACACAACAAGCAACCCACGAGAGATGCTCTTAGAGAAGTTGGAATTAAATCGATTCGTGAATTATTCACATAAATAACAGCTTGTGATCGTATCTTTAGCCTATAGGTCTTGCTTCTAATGTCATCAATCTAGCTGTATGTAAATAACAGCATGTGATCGCATCTAGCCTATAGTCTCGCTTCAAATGTCATCAATCTAGTTGTCTAGGAGACAGAATCCTTTAAACATTTCGTGTGTCATACTCAGATATACATTGATTAATTTGACAACATAAATCCTTCCAATCGAGACATATTCATAAGGATAAAATCATATCATTGTGCAGTCATGTGCCATGTTCCCGAATCCATTACACTTTTTTCTTACAAAAGGATTACCTCTGTTTAATTTAAAGGGACTACATGGATATAGAACTAATCGTGGAAGCTTCTATTATATGTAGGCTATATTTGGTTGTACATATTCATAATTAATACTATTATATTTAAAATGACTGAAATTACATTTGTAATATGATAGTTTATTAATGTAGATTTTTAAAAACACACATATTTCGAAACTCCTCCTTGTGTCCCACACCTAAATATTATTCTTTTGTTCTACACACCTAAATATTACGATTTGAATTGTGTCATAAATTCTTTCAACCTCCCTACCAACTTTACTGGCGTAACACCCGAAGGTAAGAAAAAATTGGCACCACAACATTGACTTCATAGTTAAAAAGTGTTTAAACAAAAACACCGCGAGTTGAAGCAAAATAAAAAATAAAAATAAAAAAATTAAATAAGAGAGTGTATTTAATTAAGATTTTAATAGATTTTTAAAAAAAAATTATTATAAATTTTTTTGTAATATTTAATTAAATTTTTTAATATAAAAAAATGATATTCAATCAAAATAACTAAAATTTAAGAATTCGTCAAAATTAAATAATATTTAATTAAAAAAATCAAGACATTTTTAAAAATCTATTAAAAATATAGTGATATTTAATTAAGATATTTTTATATATAAAAAAATTCGTTAATATTAAACAATGTAAAAATTTCAATAAACTATTTTAAATATTAAATTTTATGAGATTTTGTAATATAATTTATATGTAATTATTTATTAAATAATTTCGCTAAAAATTTTGAGATTTTTATATTATTAAATATTATTTATTATTAATTTTTTAATTATTAAAATTAAATATTTATTTTTAATAAAATTTAATATTAAAATATAAAATTTTGAAATATATATTAAAAAAATTTAATGTTATGATAATAATTCTCAAAATAAAAATCATAATTTTAAATATATTATTCAAATTTAAATACATAAAAGAGAATATATTTTTATTATTTATGTTTTTTTATTAAATATTATAATATTATAAATTTATATTTATTTTTGAAATCTATAAAATTCTTTAACATCTTATAATATAAATTTATCAAAATTTAGCATTGGACTACAAAAAAAAAAAAAAAAAAAAAAAGAGTACTATAAAAATTATAATAATAAGAGAAACATAAACATACACCAACATAGTTAAAAGATGAAAAAAACAAACTTGTGAAAACATTAGTAGAAAGCCAATAATATCTCACCGTAGATAGAGTTTGTTTATGAAATACGCCGATAACACCCTAAGAGGTTCCGTCGGCGAGAGGAGTCTTGACCCTAACGGAGAAGTTAAGCACCCCACTGCGCCTCCCTTCCCAGTCCCTCAACGCGTAGCTCAGATACCGCTCGCACTCGTCGGAACCCGCCGCAGCGCCGCTCAGAAAGTCCGTCACCGCAATCCTCGCCACCCCGACGTCCTTCACGCCCGGCGAGTTCCTGCATTTCACCTCCAGCGTCACGGACCTCGCGTGCGCCGGCACCTCCACCACCAGCGTCTCGTTCCAGGACGAGTTGCCGCCGCAGTCCTCCGCCGTGCCCGTGGCGTAGCTGGTGATGGAATCCGCCCGCACCGCCACGTACAGGTTCTTCAGCGCGGGCTTCCAGTCCTCGCGGAGCTCATCCAGCGAGGAAATGGTGAGTTCCAGCGTTCTTTTGCGTGGGTGTGTAGCTGCGTCCATGTTTCTGGTTTTGTGACCGAATGAGTGAGGGAATGAAAAAAGGAAAGGAAGTGAAAAGAGGGTTGGCGGGGTTCTCAAATATAGGGATATGTTTCCATTGATCAATAATATATTAAAATGGTGCTTATTTTTTTTTATAAAAATATTCTTACTCAACATTATTAATATAAAAGAAAAAGACACTATAATATATATATATATAAATAAAGGGATTCATTAATTTTATGAGTAAATTTTATTTAATAATTTATATTTTATATTAAATATCAACAATTCAATTATTAAATTAAAAAATTTAATATATAAATTTAAAATTTTAAGAAATTATTTAATAAATTATTTCATTAATTTAAATTGAAAGATATAATCATAGAAATATTTTATACATTAATTTTGAATCTATATAAGAGAATATCATATAATTTTTAAATTTTTTAAAAATTTATAAACTTGATTTATATATTAAAAAAATTAATTTAACAATTTGATCGTTAAAATATAATGTAAAATATTAATTATTGAGTGAGGTAAATCTATTAAAATTTACTCTATAAAACATATAAAAGTATTATTATTCTTTTTTTTAATGAAGAATTTAGACTAGAGTAATAAACGACCTTATATAAGGTTAGGGTCATCACTAACTTTTTTATAATTTCTAATAAGATTATGATTTTTAATAGGATTCAAATCATCTTTCTCATTCTCAACACAAACTTGAATGGAAAAATATAAAATAAGAGAAAAATTAAATTCAATCTCAAATCTTAATTAATACAGACGTATATTTTTATATAAATTTAAATGTGTATATGTTTTATTTTTATATAATAACATTTTAAACATGTAAATTTCAACTATTCTCAATGTCTCTTGCCTTAAAGTATCTACACTAAAGGAGTGTCCTTAAGATATCTACACTCAACTCAAGGAGTGTCTACAAGTCTTTTACAATGATTTGTCTTTATCTATAAAAATTAAATTAAAATACTTTTTTAATATATATAATTTTATTTACTTTATCTTTTATGTAATATTTTATTCTTATTTATTTTTTAATTACTTTTAATCTTTCTAATTTAAGATAAGTTATTTTAGATTATATACTTACGATTTTTTATTTTTTATTTTTTTTTTAAATGTTTACTTTGTGTTAATGTGATAAGAAAATTTCAATTTTATAAGGATAAAAATAAGTATCTGGAAGTTTGTAGATGAAGAAAAGCTGAACTGGATTTGTGCATTGTCATAAGTAGCGATCGCAATCCCCACAAGTCAGAAAGAAGAATCTATTTTAGAGTATATTAATCGAACGGTAAATAAACGTGGTCCACGGTAGCCCACCATAACCACCGACCTTGATTTTGTTTTTTGGTACGTCACCGTCCTTAAATTAATGGAGACAAAGTAGTCGTGTTTCTTGACGTAATTGGGTGTGCAAATCCCCATGGTTTACGACTTACGAGGGGCTCCAAGTTGCGCGTGTAGAAGCCCTAGGGAGATACCTTTCAAAAAAATACAGCAAATACGCGCCGATTTTTATTTGTCGTTCTGGACTTGTTGTAATAGGAAATCGTGAACAAATTGACATCTTAGATCTAACACAAATCAACATATATAATAAGTTTCATAAATTTAAAAAAATATATATATATTCATCCTTTTTATTAGTTGATAATATAATTTTTATATTAACAATATATAAAACTAAATTATTTCATTAATTGTTATCTTAAGAGTATTATATAGAGAAAATTTTAATATAAATAACAATAATAATGATGATTATAATATTGTGGATTGTAGAGTATCATAATTATTTTAATGATATGTTAGTTATTATGTTGAAGTGTTATTTTGTGTGTAAGAACTCTAGAATTTGATAATTTTTTATGAGTTTCAATAGTGTTATAAGTTTTTATAGATAAGGATCTTATTTGACCTAAAATAAAGGAATATATCAGGTTTCTATTTTGAATGGAGTCTTGTAACTTAAATTCTTCAAAAACTTAAAGAGAGGAATTATAGAGAGAAGTACTTTGGTCTACGAGTCTCATTCTTCTCAAACTTCTTTAATAGAGCGATTGTTCTCCCCTAATCTCATGTAAGTTGTGTTATTTGTGATTCTAGGTCAATAGAACCTTGAATTCGAGTAACAATATGTTTGGAGTAGGCTTTGGAGTACCTCGGTGCTTTTCTTCTCTTCTCTTCCTCGATTCTCTTTGTAGACACCCAATTTCGTCCGGGGGCATACAAACAAGGAAATGGACCTCTGTTATGAAGGAAAGGAGCTCCCGAAGCAGGCAAACAACAGGATAGGACATTGGAACGGGCCATTCCAAGCCACAAAAAAAGGCCTAAAAACCTAGGCCGGAACGGGCTGTTCCAAAATCGGAACGGGACGTTCCAAGCCACAAAAAGGCCTAAAAACCTAGGCTGGAACGGGCTATTCCAAAATCGGAACGGGCCGTTCCAAGCCACAAAAAAGGCCTAAAAACCTGGTATGGAACGGGTCGTTCCAAAAACAGAACGAGCTGTTCTAAACCAGGCAAAAGGCCTAAAAATCTTAGGCTGGAACGGGCCGTTCCAAAGCTAGAACGGGCCATTCCAAACTGCTAAAAAAGCCTAAAAAACTTAGTTTGGAACGGACCGTTCTAGCACTCCAGAACGGACCGTTCTGATTTCAGAACGGGCCGTTCTAGGGTAAGAATTTTACATATAACGTTCGGATCCAGAACGGGCCGTTCCGGATTTGGAACGGGCCGTTGTGGCACCCTTTCTGATGCCTATAAATAGACAGCTTGGGCACAGTTCTCAGGACCCCAAAAATTTCGTCCAACACTCCTTAGAGCTCGAAATTTCTCTCTTTTTTTCTCTCTCTCCTATTGTATTTCTTGAGTATTGTGAGGCAATTGTAGTGCGAAAGGTTGCCACAAAGCACCTAAAATCTCCCTATTTTGAAGATCTAATAGAGTTCATTCAAGAAGTATTTCAGTTAATTTCTTTCTCTCTTTTTTTATTTCTTATATATAATAATTATTGTTATAATAAAAATAATCATGTAGACATTTTAGGGTTAATTGTATTATTTAAATTTCAAGTATGTAAATAGTTATTAATAAAGGGGATCTAATATTTAATTTATTATTTCTTATTACATTAACTTCATCATAGGGTACCGATTGAGGGCGTTGCCTACATGTAACCGACCCCCGAACCCAATTCTGGTTATCAAGGCCATTATTAGATCTTTAAAAACCTTTTCTTTTTCCAATGTTTTGAGTAAAATATTGGTGGCGACTCCATGAACCTATTTTCAAAACCATTAATTAAGGATTAGTCTAGTGTCCGGACATTCCTTAATTAATGAGACTTTTAAAAGGATGTCTAAACCATAGATCGCGAGATCAGAAATTTTCAGGTTGCGACAGATGGCGACTCCGCTAGGGACGTTTAAAGAGGGTCAGACCCATTTAATTGATGAAGTTAATAAAATAAAAATAATAATTTAAATATTTTTTCCCTTTACTTTGTTTGTTTTATTTGTTTAGCTTTAATATGTGTTTGCTTGTTTAAATTCTGCATCTTTTTGAATAAAAATTGTACACAAACTTTTGCACACATCAGTTCCCCCTACACCCGGGGGCATGAGGGTATTAAACATAGGGAGTGGTTGACGTACGACCGGCCCAAGTTCGGCCTTGGAGCCTGCGATCCTTGTCAGAAATCACACTCAAGGTGATAACCGGTTACTCTAGCCCGAAATACTGCGACAGACCTTAGAGTTTGCCAGGTGACGACGACAGAGATACTGGGTCCCTATAATGGGGGCACCTTGGGGGCCTTAAGACCAGTGAAATTAGAACTGTCCTATACAATGCACTTTTCTTACAGGGACCACAGACCAATGATTTAAACGTGGTTGTTCGCGGGTGTACATTTGTTTGAGCATATGTGTGTTGCATTTGTTTGTGTTTTTTTTATTTCAAATGGATAAGAATTACAAACGAATAGATATTAATAAAAAATATGATAAAAAATTTAACTCCCTTCTATATACCTAAACCTCAAAGCATCATATAGGATAGTTTAGTTCAAAAAAAAACAACAAAAACAAATAAATATATAGAAAAAATCATGCATCATAACCCTTAGCCAAAAACATGATAAAATTTAGGCAGAAAATAAATATCATGCATCTCCTAGGATAGTACATTAGCATACATTCATTAGAAATGGAAGACACATATAATAGTATGCAAAGAATGTTCTCTAAACAAAAATCAATGAGAATGATATCCGTTGAATTTCTCATATGTCTTTGCATCCTATTTTATGTTTCATATAGATAACATGTCTTCCTTGTAAATAATAAATAAGAATAAAAAGGGAAATCTAATTTGTGCTTGTTAGCCGGATAATGGAAATTACTGTAATCAAATGCGAACCTGAAACATCAAATCGGGGAACACTTATTAGTAATTGGGGGCATCACATGCCCAAATCGACAATTCAAACAGCGAGACTTTCCCATGACGAAATGACAATTGCCGGGATAGGAGGAATGATCAAGAATGGACGAATCCTTGCTTCTAGGGAATTACAAGACAAAATCCAATTGAGGAATAAAGACATTGCGCAACAAAAATATATTACACTTCGTCTTAGGCCCAAGGCCCAAAGCAACCCTAAATCACACCAAGATACGTGCATTACATATACGAGACTATTACTCATACAAACCCTAACTTTGGCATCGGAGTCTCTTTTGCAGGTACCACCCCCATCTTGGAGCACCAGCGCACCCGTGAAGGAGGCTCACCGATCTTACCTGGCAGATCAGCTCTACAACAGATTTCCGGTAAGAACATTTGGCGCCCACCGTGGGACCGATCGAGACAGCCCTTATCGGCCACCCGTATGGTATTCACCAGAAGCCACAACAGACGTTATTTTCACTTCATGTAAATACTTAGGAAGGTTGTGTTGAGAGAAACAAAAGGAAATAAATCAAGTAATATATCACATTTTCTTTTTTTACATTTAACATCACTAATTTATTTTCTTAAAATTATGGATAGATATTGTACTA